GCATCTGAAGCAGACGACGACGACGACAAAGTTGCGTGCACCGTTCAACGTGCGATTGTTTCGCACTTCTATCCCTTCCATTCGATGTTCTACGCTTGAAGATCGAATGGCCGGTACCACAAACAATTGTTCCGTAGCCGTGGCCCCACCTTCGTGGCAATGTTGGTCCGTCGTGCGCCGCCATCGCGTCGTACAACCCGCGGTATTTTGCCATATTGAGAATGACGTGGTACATGTACTTCCTGTGATGTCAGCAACATTTCTTTTTTATTTTGATCAACGTATTTCCAGTTTCTTGGAGGCCACAAAAACGGGGTTCTAATTCGTTCTCATTTTTAATATTGAATGACGTGGGTCATCTAAGGTACACAAATGATCCACAACTTTGAATATATTTTGTACGCATAGTTCGAGTCCACGTGACCCCGGAAGAAAAAGAAAGCGCGACTGAACACGGCCAATTCCCGACCGGCTGTTCTCGGGCGGAAAGAGAACGAATTTTGAGCCGCAAATTTTGTTGTTCGTAGTTGGGCTCTTATACATCATGTTCAAATAAAAAAAAAAAAAAAAAAAAAATTCAGCAGAGACAATGAAGGCTGCTTGCATGAAGGAATGCGAAAACATCCCAACACAGAGTGCATTTCTACAAGGAGCGCACGACGTCTTCCTTTCGGTGACATATCGTTCCCCCACTGCGCAGGAGCGGCGAGCCCTGACGGCTTCACGAGGGCTTCCGTGACGAAGCATAATGTTGCTGTGTTTTTATTTGTGTTTTATTGGGAATGGGAATTTAGGTGCCGTTTTTCTGCTACAGACGGTAACAGACAACGGATCCGCCCCGTGACAACTTGCCAGCAGTAGTCTGAGTCTATGAGAACGCCGACGTCGTTGTCCACTCTACCTTGAGCCCCAGCAGGGATGATATCTGCGGCTTTAAGTCCACTGGAATGAAGTTCCCTGTGTAGATTGTCCTCTAGCTGCTGGTGTGATACTGTGCACCGGTCTGGGACTTCCAGTGCTTCAAGTAATACCTTCTGGTTGCTTTGATGGCTATGGAGGGTCACAACCACTCGTCGACAGGACCGTTTGGTGGCTGTGTTTCCAAATGTGTACATAGTAAGCTCCTCCTGGCCAACGACTTCACATCCCAGTTTTTCAGAAATGTCCTGCCGGATAAACGTGCGCTGACTCCCACTGTCCAGTAACAGCCTCAGTAGGAGATGTCTCGGTGTCCCTTTTGCCCACGTTCTAGCAGTTTGCAGCAAGACAGCAGAAGAGCGAAAATTGGTGGTTGGGGCGCTCACGACTGTTGCGGTGCCTAAGTCCTCCTGGGTGTGAGTTGTCCGATGCGGCTGACGTGAGACTTGATAGATCGCAGAGTATAGTCACGTGGTAACCTACACAAGTGGCGCATGTCAAGTCCCTGCACGAACGGCAAACACGAGCGATGTGATTTCGCTGGCCGCATTTGAAGCAGCAGCGTGCCCGCGCAAGCTTGGTTCGTTTTTCTTGTGTTGAAAGTCTAGCCTGGCAGTTTTGCACCGTGTGCTGGTTGGTATCACACGAAGGGCATGTGGCCGCTCGGCAGCCAATAGCCTCGGTCGAGAGGGCCAGTGCTGAAGGGTGGCTCGCCTGTGCGGATTCTTGACGTGGTATCGGCGATGACCCATACCGGGGAGAGTGACTTGGGTGTTCCATTTGGACATCTCGAACCTCCACTTGAGTCTGTAGAAACAACATGATGACGCGGACCTGCTCTTCCGGGCACATATCAAGTGTGTCGGCTGATGGTGTCAATGCTGCTTCCCTTATCTTCTGTCAGTATAGTATAGCCAGGTTAAGGGGTGTCCAAACAGGACACTACAAAACCCGCGACTCCGGCAAATCGTGCCGCGCTCTGCCGCGATCCGCTTCCGGCCGTCGGAGGGAAATTTCCCTCCGTCAATTCTTCCCGGGGGAAACTTCCCTCCGTCAAATCTTTCCCTCGCTTCCTCCACGGCGGCCTTGCTCTGCTTATCACGTGGGTCCGGAGAGCCACTCACACGCTCTGTTGGCTGTCGGTCAATCGCTCAAGGCCTCCGCTCACAATATGGAACCGCATCGGACGCCATCACGACGAAAGTGAATCTCGACAAAAAAAGCAGATCCGAGGCGGGCGAAACGCACCCTTCGACGCAGGAATGTCCCAAATCCACCCAAAGCCGGACCTCCTTGGTCTTCGAGCCGAGGCGACGGCGGTATGCGAGGGCGTTGGCGAGGTGAGCCAGACGCAGGTGGCGTCTGATGTCAATCTGAAGAGGAGAGCAGTCGTGATCGTAAAAATTTTCACGACTCCTGCAAACATTTTCACGACTCCGACAGACCGTAAAAATAGAAGCGTCCGCTTCAATTTTCACGATTTGTCGGAGTCGCGGTTTTGTAGTGTCCTGTTTGGACACCCCTTTAGCAGGAAGGCACCGCATGAGAACACGATGTAGGACGACAGCGTAGTTGCTAGGCGGGAGATCGAGCCCTTGAAGAGATGTTGTTCAAAAACGTATCGTATCGTAGAGTTTACGAAGCTATACTGCGTTGGTTGAACTGTTGACCGCAGGCAAGCTCAGAGGCCGATCAATGTAATCATAAATTAGGATGTGCCGTCGTCCAAATTGGTCTTGTAGTTAGCGTCTGTACCGCGAGGTCATAATTTTGTTCTGAGAGTCGGATTCCTTCCACGGCTCGCTTCGCGTCATCTGTGAGATATGTGAGAAGGTATTTAAACTTTTTGATTGGCGGGAGTTCAGAATGGATGTGGATCGTACAACTGAAATGATCCCAGAACCTCTGCCAGTCGCGATTGCTCCCGGTAGAAGTCGGTACCTGCAGTTTCGGTTGGGCGACCGTCCGGTGGCTCTTTGAGGTCGGAGTTGGAGGAAGACCGCCGGACTAAGTTCTGTCGAGAGGGACGTTGGGCATGCTATTCGTGGGTTGTGGCACGGAGACTCGAGAGTCGAGGGCGTGTCGGACGCGCGTGAGGCTATGACTGATGCGAAGACGGTACTCGTCTGCTTCCTCAAGCTCGTCTTCAAGATAGTCATCTGAGGTGGACGTCTGAATGTCACGGTCAAGGTGGATTAAGTCGCTTTCTTTTTGAAGCAAGTGGTCCAGTTGTAGTCGGAGGTCAAGCCCTGTCGTGCTGTTGTCTTGGAGAAAGTTGTCTATTTGGGTTAGCGTTCGGGTGACGGCTGAGCGGACGATGCCGCAAGTTCTCCGGTTGCGGTCCATCTCGTTTCCCGGGTTTCGGCACCAGTGTTAAGGAAGAGATCCGGGGCACGTCCGTCTCAATGATGTCAGGGGTGCTATGTTGCGCTTTTTGGACTCCCAGGAGACTAGGGAGAGGGAAGTGACGTCAACGACACAGCAAACGCAGATTGGGTGTTGATTTCGTTTTCTTCTGTCAACATCCAATCTGCGTTTGCTCTAGTCGTTGACGTCACTTCCCTCTTCCAAGTCTCCTGGGAGTCCAAAAAGCGCAACATAGCCCCCCAGTTTATCGTTCTCCCTCGTGCCGTTCATGATCCCGTGGTTCTGCGCTGCTCTAACTCCTTTTCCTCTCGTTACTATACTACCAGATCGCATAATCTACAACACCCTGTACTGGGCGGAGCTGAGCGGAAGGACGCGTCGGAAGCTTGTGTCTCGAACTGTCGAGTGCATCGGGTCCGAGCAGCCATCTTTCCGACAGTTCCCACTGTTGTATTTTTTGAATTAAAAAAGAGATGGCGCTACTGGTCTCACGCCGACCGGTACAGCGTATGACGTAATAAACACGAGCAAACGGCGCGCGCCTAGTGCTGGCCGGAAAAAGAAGAGATGCTCGAAGTGGACAATTGGGCGAGTTGCGCTGTAAGTAATTATGAAGAGATGCTCGCTGACCCTTGACTTGGCTGGACTGCTTCTTTACGCCTCCGGGCGTCTGCTTCGGTCACGGGACGGTAACCACCTTTCTTTATCATGTAGTCTTGGTCCCCTTTTTAACTTAAATTATTACACCCACGTCATGATTAAGTGATTAAGCGGTACGCATGATCACAACACTCCGGCGGCATCCGAGAGAAGCCTATTTCACGCTTCACTGTCTTGACTGTCTTAACTTAGGTTGGAAGGCCTTGGCCAGCTTGACTATCAGTTACATTTAAATATAAAAGAAGCAGAGATGAGCACTCTTTCATCAACCAAAGGATAAATATTATAAATAGATCTCGACAATAGTAGGCCACTACTACGAATTTGTCTACAAAATGTTATTTTACGTAGCTTTAGTGTCTCAAAATGTCGCTTGTGGCGTTGCGTTAGCTTTTGTAACGCCCTATTCCGGAAGAGGGTTGTCGAGATTGCAAACGCGCTACTAAAACATAAAAACGTTGCTCGACTACGGTAGGTACATTGGAGGTCCTAGCGGATTGCGGATAGCGTAGTGGAAATGGCAAAACGATATACTGAAACTCTCCCTTACTATAGGGTGGCTCAAGCGGAGCCGACGCTGAAAATCGAGCTGCAAAATTTGTCATGTGCACATAGAAACCCCAAACGTACACTGAAAGTGCACCGAGCAAGCCTGTTTTGCCTCGTGAAATTTCAGGGTGCATACTTCTCCCGTAAAACAAAAATAAGAGCAACAATCTTGCCAAGTCAACTTTGGGCGCATTCGCAGACGACTGAGTGAGCGGCGCCATTAACTTGTGGCGCCACCTTCCAACGTGGGCAGCGATCGCACTCCGTGTTAGCCGATGACAGTGAATTTCCCAGAGGGAGAAAGACCGCCGTGTCGATGCACTTTTGCAACTGCTTGATGGGCTACAACGTATTGCAGCGTCATCTGATACATACATGAGCTGACTGAACAAGCTCGGTTCACGGATTTGTAGCACCCCCGAGTTAGACGCCCCGGCGAGTTATATTCTCTGGAGGATTAAAGACGACAACAACCGTCAGAATGAAACGGAGGGGGGGGGGCTCACTTGCTGTTGTCACCCGCTGTGTCTTCAGCCTTCCCCTGCGGCGTGTCTTGGGAGTGCTGCCTGTCGCTAGCCATGGACAGGTGGCCGCTTGTCGACTTTTTCGTCGGGACCTGTCCGTCGGTGTTGATGGTCTCCGGTCGCTGGACAAGAGAACACACGGCAAAAGTGAAGGCCATATGGCACACAAAAGTAGACTGAATTTTTATCTGAAATGGCCGGACGGGCAGTATATGCAATCTTGACGCTATACCATAAAGCCCAACGTAATAGGCCGTACGCGAAATTTCTTCAAGCTGCCATCATTATGGTGCCTGGATCGCGTCTTCGACTGGTGTGTTTAGCGTCCTATCCCGCCCATACATCAAAAGTGGTCCCAATGTGGCAACAAATGACGTCGCAGAAGCCGGAGTTTTCATGCTGCTGCCTGTTGCGACCCTGGCGGTTGGCCGTAGAAATGCTGGCGAAAAGCACGAGCGAACGCGAGTGTCGCTGTCGTCGCGGCGTCTCCACTTCCGGCTTTTCTAGCTTCCGTGAACTGCCACAGTGGAAAGCGACCTGCAGCGGAACAGGCGTCTGTCATTCATACCACAACTGCTGGGACGCCGCCAGGGTCGCGACCGGCGACAGCATGACACTTCTATGACGTCATCAGGCGGAAATCGAGGGACCACTTTTTTGGCCGCGGTAAACACACCAGTCGGAGACGTGTCCCAGGCACTATACCATCACCATTGTGCGATTTGGAGCCGCCATATTGGACGAATTCTGTCATCTGTGGACGCAGAAGATGTGCATTCAACTCTGCTTTCACGATTTTAGGATAATGTATTAGTGTATTCAATGAATTGCTACTTAGCTTCCGTGAAACGGAGAAAAAAAGGATGGCGACGAGATTGTGGAAAACGAATTCCCAGCAACGATGTCGCAAGAATCGTCACTGAAGCAAGGAAACAGACTATCAAGGTAAGGGCACGGTCTTTATCGAAGACGCCGTGCGAAGGGCTCTTCTGGGAACCCCCTTATCTGGAGCAAACTCGATAATTGATTACACGTACGCTAGATCGCACTTCTTTCTGCATACGGCGTATAAAAGGCTCCGCTGAAAGTCCTCTACACTCCTGCCTGTCCCATCAGCATCGACCACGTGATGGCTCGTTCACACTTGCGGATCCACGGGGAATTTTACTCCGAGCGGTGAAATTGGCTCGCCGCTGACGAAATAATCGACGGCGAGAGCAATCGGTACGGGACCGATTTTTCCCGCGCGGAACAAGTTTTCGTGCCACCGCAGCCAATCAGAACGCAAGAAGGAAATGACGTTTACTGACGTCAGATCCTAGCCGAATCCCCCCGAGTTATTTGGGTTATTGCCGATGTGGTCGGAGTTCCCAAGTTCCCCACTTGTGCGAATGGAGCCGTCTTGCTGCTAATGTTGTGTCGGAAGAAATATTCAGGGGTACAGTATCTGGGAATCCAAACTTTTGAACCGCTCTCTCAATGGGCGTGATATTTGCAGGTGGTGTTTGTAGGCGAGGACATGCAAAGTTTCAGCCCCGCGAACCAATTTTATGAGGTGCTATACACCCAGGACGAAGTAAACCTAGCTTTGCATGGAATCTGCTCAATGAATCTATCGTTGACAAATGGTGTTGATTAACCGGATCTTTTTTTTCTGGCGGAATGCATACTCGAGTCATACTTCGTCCAGCGAACCTAGTCGACGGCAAGTCATACTTAGACCAGCAGACTTAGTCCGGAGGAAACCTTCGGTAGAGAGTCATACTTAATTAGTTCCGCATACCTAGCTTGTTTGCCATAGTTGGCGGCAAGGCATACTTCTTCCATCACACTTTTACCACAAGCGATCATGGGCGACAAGTCCCACCTAGTCCAACGTAATTATACCTAAGTCATATTGGCGCGTGCATGACCGAGAAGATACCCTCCTCCGTTCATCTAGAAGATTCCCGTACACCCTCACCCCGAGCGTAAAAGATAAGGAGGCCAGAATGACCTTGCCAAGTCAGTCTGGCCCTAGCTCTTCACCGAACATTCTAGGTCGAATATACGAGATTGACCTGCATAGTAGATAGAGAGCCGGGCGCCGTATTGTCGATTCATTCATGGATTCTTTCTCGCGATAGCCAGCTTTTACGCCGACGACCTGTCGTTTGCGTCGATATTTTTGTTCCGCTTAGTGATAACGCCTCTCACTTGGCGGCGCTAAAACTCAGGCCTCAGCCGGGAGCAGGCTCTTCCATAAGAAGCGCTCAGATGACGTGGCGTAAGTATAGAGTTGGTCGTGCCCTTGGCAGTGCAGGAACTATTGACGTCAACTGTTGGCGCCCTTTTCAAAAGTCGACGCCAACACGTGTCTGGCACTGCTTGCTCACATACCCTGAGAATGGATTGGACACGAGGGTTACGTCACAGTTAGGCATTAACTCGGAACCAATCAGGCGCATCGTGTCTAAGTTATGGCCAACGCTGCTTCGGGGACTTTTGAAAAAGGTCTATATGGCACGGAGCATTCAGGAAAAACGCAATCTTTTTACCTTGTCCGCGGAGGAGTCCGCCTTGCGTTTTGGGCCATCGCGCGGAGTGCACGAGCTCCGAACACAGCCTTCAGAAGGACGAGAAGACTCGCGCTTGTGCGCCTCTATGTTGTGCCGTTTGGCGCAGATCAAGTAGTGTTGGCCATTAAAGTCCTTCGTTTTCAAGGTTGCACCGCACTTGAGAAAGTCGCATCGCCATTGGCAACGGTTCAATAACTGTGAGGAAAATGTGAACCAATATCCACCGTGCATGGCCTTGAGGCCAATATTCGTTTGCATGGTAAACACTTTCGCAGCGGTTCGAGCCTTCGATGCGGTCGCGGAAGACTTAGCCTTGTTGCCGCCAGTCAAGTTGGTGTGCACAGCAGGCTCGATGGCCGCTGTCGAAGTGGCTTCAGAGGACGCCATTGCAGTGCCGTCAACCAGATTGCTCCGGATGCCCGCTCCGAGTCCCACGTGATCGACTAGTTACCCCGGGATATGTGCCCTGTAAAAACAAAGCTGTGAGATTCACTCGGCAGATTAGGAAACCAGAGCTGCCAGAAAATGCGAGAGCATTTAGCAGCAGCTGTAGTTTAAAGGAGAGATAGAACAATTTTTGTACTTTCAGCAAACACAGCTTAGAATTATTCCTGGACATTTACAACCTATAACACACTCGTATTTTCGTCTCCACACAACAGCAGTCCCAGAAAAAATACGGCGAAAAAATTTAGCACTTGTGCGCTAATATACAATATACAGTCAAAGCGATAGCTTTGATGTCATGGCGAAGTCGTTGGTCATCGGCATCACGTTCACGCACCCTGGGGTGCGTGAGCAAAAGCTTTCGGAACAAAATATACATCTCACCATTTTGTTCCCAACGCTTCTCTTCCTTTTTTTCGCGCCAGAGCGCGTGAAAGCGCGTCTATCGGCAGGAGGTCTTCCTATTGACAGTGCTACAGCAGTATTTTATTGCAGGCAATTTGTTTTTTAGACACCGCTTGCATTGGGCATCGCATACTACAAAAGCCTATATATAAGACGGGTTGTTAACTGCGTGGCGTAGCTCAGTAACGCCTGCGTTTCGCGCGCAGCGAACCCGGGTTCGACTGATGCGGACAGCGGGCGCTCTTTTTCAATGATTTCGCGTCTACGACATGCGCCCTACTACGCCAACTACAACATTAACGACTAAAACATCAACGTCAACAACGGACGTCATTTCCAGAGGCAAAGAGCCCATAACCGCTATCGCTGTAAAACGAACAGTGTTCAACACTGATCTCTATCGTAGTAGGCGGGATCGCGGATCGGGAGCCCGTCGGTGTCGCCACCGGCGGCCATTGCTTGACACCAGGCAATACACGCAAGTCTGTGGGAGAAACGTGCAAAAGTAAGAATATTGAAGCATGTACGCTGTGCTCGAAGGCGAGTATTTTATGGTGTGCTGCGATCCTTATGTTGGGTGTTTGGAGATAAAATCGGTATTTGTCAAACGTTTGAACGCCGATTAAAAAAAATCAAACCTACCGGAGCACCTACAGCTGAGCTGGCAAGCTTGCTCAAGTAGTGGAGTAAACAAACGAACTTGCCGTCAATGAGACCGTCCTCGGGGAAGCCCAGAAGTTGATGAATGACAAAGGAATTCCATCTCGACATTAGCTTTCCGAAAGTGAGCGAATTCCGTGTAGCAAAGCCTTCGAGCTTGTCGTCTGCTAAACCCAACCCAACGAAACTGCCACCGACTCCGCGGTAACTCTAGGCAGAGTTTCGAACCGAAATATTTATCGGATCGGTTCGGGTTCACGTCTTTTGGTTCAGTTTCAAGAAGAAAAAAAGACCGGTTCGAACCGGTTCAAACCAGTTTGAACAAGTTTAAACCGCTAAAATGAGAATACAATTTCTGCCCTGTTTTGGCAAGAGGCACTATTTCAAGCGTGTAACGTGTAACTATATAGATTTCCGTCCTTCGTACAATTTAATTATAGTTTCAGGTACCAAAAATAAGAAATTGCGTAATTTTATTTTAACAAAACAGAGAATAAAAAAAAAAAAGCTAGATTAACATAGAAAAAACGTCGCGTTTATAGAGATCAACATCTATTTGTTTAGCTCAGTGGCATATACTTTACTTGAGTCGAAAGGTTATCGTATCCGTCTAGGAGGTCGTCTAAAAGAGCCGTGATTGGTACAGTTTTCCGTCACAGTATTAAAAGTTGAAACCTAGTTGTGCTCTTGAACTTAAGAATTACAGTGCATAAAATCATGGAATGGGCACGTCCTCACCATATACAGGGTGTTTCACGAAAAGTGGACAAATTCGATATTGCGAAAACTATGCGTCGCAAAAAAAGAAAAAAAGGCTTATGTCCTTTTGGTCTTGGGCCAGGGTCCTATTTAGGAAAATTAATAAAAGTCCGGAATAATTAGACTGTTAATTATTTTGGCGTAATTAACTCTTTTAATATTGTGTTTAAGGGCACGGTTTCAATTGGAAAATTGCTCAGCATCATCGAAAGGCACTAAATCAACAAACTGCAAAACGATAGAAGGCACGTGCAGCATTTTACGGCGAAGGTATAGTAAGTTTCGGTTTGTATTGATATTTGCCTATAATCGCTGATACTATCAACAGCCCCACATTTGTGTTAAACGGAAATTCTAGAAATTTTCATTTTTTTCGGGAAAGAGACTAGTAGATAAGACAAAGTTGTTTATCTGGCAGACTACGTCAGATATGAAATCTGAAACAGCTTTAATTGGCACCGCTTTTATTTCATCATAACCGCTCGAACAACTATTTTTAAGATCACTTATTAGGCTCACAATTTCTGTGGAGATAGTAGAGTGAAGGGTTGTGCTTTATGTACTTTTCAAACTTTTCAGTGGTCGTTTGATCGAAGGCTCCAAAGGTTAAAAAATGTCAATTAAAGAAGTTAGCAAGAGCCGTTCCGCTTAAAGTTTCATCGCCTATTTTTATTTTGGTTGGTACACTGTCCCGTGTTCCCTGCAATAAGCCTTCGATAGAACGCCAAGTTTTCTGAGGATCATAGCAAATGTCTGCGAACTTATCAGTATAGTAGCGGATGCGAGACTTATGAATATCAGCACCTAATCTGTTTCTATCTTTAACTCTTGCAAAATAGATAAATCTCTGCTTAATAGAAATGCATGATATAGTTTGTTTAGTGCTTTGCAATAGGTCTGTTATCCACGGCTTTCTTGCTTTTTTACTTTTTTATTATTACGACAGAGAATGCACAACAGTGAGTACACTTGTGAGTACACCTGCCTCAGTTTCGTTTTTATAACAGCTCGTTAGACATATGTCGATTAGTGTTTCACTAGAATTCGTGATGCCGAGTGGGTATATCTTATATATGAGAAACCGTTTGAGTATATAATAACAATACATTCATTAACTACATTAGATTTTTGCAAAATGTTAACATTGAAGTCGCCCATAACTACTACAGGCATTTTGAACACTGTAAAGAATTCTGGAGTAGGTTCAACAAAACGAAAGAACTCATCTAATGAGCCAGAGGGGGGCCCGGTAGATGACACCAAACACAAACGCGCCTGATTTTATAAAAAGCGATTCAAAGTTTTGATTAATAACGGTGTACCCAGGAATGACCTCGTAAACAAAATTCTTCTTTATGCGGAGGGCAAGTTCGTCTGCGCAAGGGTAGCGGTGACGTCAGAACGCCGAGCCCTGATTGGCTGATCGCGACCCTCTATCTGAGCGTCGTCTGCTCCTTTGCAACGTCGTCTGCTCGCAACGTCGCCTGCGTCTTCTTACCTTTCCTGCGACTTTCGGAAGTGCAGAGGTAGATTCACGAAATGATCTTACGCCAAAAATGTGCGTAAGACAAAACTTAAGAACAAATTCGTATTCACGAATCGAAATTTTCGTAAGTTTTACGGGTTACGACGAAATCCTACGACAGCTCCGAAGCTGTCTTACGCACTTCTTGCGATCAAATCAGCATGGCCGACAGCGTCGCGGTCGCGACGACCCACGGACGTTTATTTTTCTACGTGCGCTTTTCACGCGTCTCGACTTCAAGCAGCAAGAAAAAAGTAAAAAGTGTTTGAAACAGACCACGACGAACAAGAACGCTGGATCCACAAACACCCGGGAAAAGCTCCGACGGCCACGATTCCACCGAACACGACCAAGCGAGTACGGCAGTTAGGCCTAGCAGGCACTCCGCGACTCGGCGACCGTCTGCCCACGACCGGCTGGAGTGCTGATTGGAATATGCCCGCGCGACCTCTTGTGAATTCTTCCCGCATTATACTTTGATCGCTGATATCAATTTTAGATTAAGAGGTCAATTTCTTCCTCTTGTTATCTCCTTGTTTCCCGAGGCAGCGGTGACTCGCCGGTGAAAAAGCGGTGAATCTCCGACAGACGCACGAAAGGTAAGCAGCCATCGCTTTGACTAGCAGACGTAAAGCAGACGTAAAGCAGGCGACGTTAACTGCGCTAACCCGCCGACGCCGTCAAAGAATGAGGGGTCTCGCCGCACACGAAAGGAGGGAAAAAGTATTTGGGAGGGAACTTGCGGGCACTAACACGCTTACTCTCGGTTCTTAGCAAATAAACCTCGGCGCCTCGGGACACCTCGCCAGTGAGTCCTTCGACTTCCCTCCTTGATGCGCGTCTGCTAGTTGTTAGACAAAAACAACGTACCGCTTGAGTTATTTCGTCTGCCCTCTCTGAAAGGCGAAGTCGAGCTTGCTCGTAAAGACCTGCACTTCCGAAAGTCGCAGGAAAGGTAAGACAGACGCAGACGACGCTCAGATAGGGGGTCGCGATCAGCCAATCAGGGCTCGGCGTTCTGACGCCACCGCTACTTCCTTTCTCATGCGCAGAAGACGAAAATGAGCCCACTTGCGAGGCGTATATAAAGGGTAACACCACCGCCTTTTTTATTTGTTCTACATACGGCTTCGCATCGGTAACCTTTGAATTGTACCACATCATCAATACTAGTAAACCACGTCTCACTAAAATCAATTGCACCAAATTGATGGTTTAAAAGGGATAAGAAAATACTGACGTCATCTTCTTTGTTTCTTGGGCTACACGAATTTAAGTGATAAAAGGAGAAGGAGGCAGGCTGCTTATGCCTCACAGACCTGAAGCTACGAAAAGAATCAGCGTCATGATAGCGACAGTGATTCATTAGGTCCACCATTCAGAGCAAACATACAAGGCGTCTAACTTATACTGCCCGTCAACATATTTTATCTAGGTCAGCTTCACACCCGATAGTGATTGCGCGCTCGCCCGGGGCTTTGCGCATGAACAACTGGCCGTTATTTTGCCAAAGAAACTGGTGCTGTTTTTCTTCAGCCTTTACCCTCATCATCCAGAGTAGCTTCTTGTTGTGTGGTGTCAGATTGTCCAGAAAGTACACGCTGGATTCAACGTTCTTCAGATGTTGGCTAGCACTGCCAGCCTCGATTGCTTCCATTTTTTTTTAATGTTGCAATTGCAGCGGATTGACGTTTCGTCTCTTTTAGTACCTCGTCGTACTGATCAGACATAAGCTGAACCGATTGTTCAAGCTTCTCGACAGACTGCTTCATCAGCATCAATTTGTCTACTTTGCACCTGATTGCCGGAAGTTCTGCTAGTTTCTCGTTGATTAAAGTCAGCACCTTCTAAAATGCGGGCGGCGGAGAAAAACTCACCGGAGAAAAGCTCACCGCAAAACCGGCAGATGCGGAGAAAAGCTCACCGGCCTTTGAGCGGATGCGGAGAAAAGCTTTTTTTTTTAGCTTAGCTTGATTCTGCGTCAAACGTGGCAATTCAACACAATTCTCATTCGTCACTTCATTAAAAATATGTACACCTTTTTTGTAATATTCTTGAAGTTCATTGGGCATATTTACCAATTCCTCAGAAATTAGTAATTACCCATTCTATAAATTAATGAAGCCGCAAACATAAAATCAAAACATTGTACACCAATAAAAAAGGCAACAATTTATTGACAGCTGACAGCGCGCCGTCGCTAGCTCTGTCAGATAAAGAGGTTTGTTCTTTGCGAGCTATAATGAATAGCGGTGTGTAAACCGGTTCAGCTCCAAATATTGTGTACTGCCTAATAGATAAGAAGGTGTTTGTTGATGTAATCAGTGTCGGCTACGCTGTTTTCTTTCTGTTAATTTCACTAACAAAACTTTAGTTGCGAGAACAGCTTCGCTTGTCGTGTTTGTTTTCTTCACACCGTCGTCGTCGTTTGAACGGTTTTCATCATGTATAACGTTTACCAATTTGCCCTATTCGCTGCATAACAGAAGACTACTTCTTCTATAGGTTACGAGTAACAACGGTGCCATTGCGCAACTCCGAAGGTCATGGGAGGCTCACCGTAGAAGGGCACTCAGTATCACACAAAGGGAACGTGTGAAAACACCAGCACGAACGGCTAGACAGCGTGCATGTCCGTGGAAGAAAGAAGCCTCGATACCCTATTGACTGTTTTATCCTGTTTTCAAAGGTTAACAAAAGCTTCAAAAAGAATTTCAGGCACTGCGTTGTTGCGCATGCACTTCTGAATTTTCGGCAGTTACAGCTTTGATTTTTTTAGGTTTTAGGCAAACATCATTAAATTTTTCAACGTTTTCCTGTTCTTCAAGTTCATAAAGTTTTAGTTAGGCTTTCGTTGCCTCGAGAGTAAGCCACAGAAAACACTCGCCCGAAATAGGACATTTTCTTTTTTACAAAGCTGACGAATTTTAATGGTTATAAATTGATATATGTTACGCATTATCCAACAGCCTCCATATAAAAAGAAGAAAAAATATTGGTAAGCTTTTCTCCGCATATGCTCAATGGCCGGTGAGCTTTTCTCCCCATCCGCCGGTTTTGCGGTGAGCCTTTCTCCGGTGAGCTTTTCTCTGGCGAGTTTTTCTCCGGTGAGCTTTTCTCCGGTGAGCTTTTCTCCGGGATTCCTAAAATGCAGTTTCTTGTTCGGGTTTCAGCCTTATGGTTGCGATAAGGCTGGGCGCTCCGGCTCCACGAGCATTCGAGATTTCGCATATAAAGTTGCTTTACGGTGAACAACCGTTGAGGAGGGTCAATCATACCAGATCAAGGCAGACAAGCTATCTATGTACGCGTCATTGCCACGTGCCTTTATATTGCTTCCTTCGGCTATAAATGACAACACGAAATAAACCAAGGCAGTAAAGGTGCCAGGCTACTGGCCGAGAAACACTTCCTTCGCTTTCCCTTCTTCAATACTCTTACTTAAGCGAGGCAGTGTTATCCTGGCACCCAAGTTGTCCATTCTTATCGGCCCACACAAGGCCGATAGTCACAGCATCGCATCCCTCTGATATTCTCATAACGTTCTACTGTATCTATCATGTTTATCAAGTACTGCTGGCGCATAGGTTTTCGTGACTGTGACAATAACGCTAACGCCGGAGCGCGCATAAAACATCTTCGGATCAGACGCGTCACGCGCCCCGTCACTTTCACGCGGAGCCAACGGTCCGGTTCGCTCGACGATCGCCCCACCGGCTTCAGGAGCCAGATCAACAAGCCGCACGCGGAGAGAGATCGCTAGCATTTCCCGAGAGCTACAGAGTGTTTGTGTAGCCGATGCAGTTGGAAAAGAAAGGAGAGGAAATCCTGGCTGTAGGCTCATAGGCCAGTTTGTCGGGAATCCGCTCGCAGAGCGCTCGCCGAAAGCTCGATGTCTACCAAGAGGGAGGTTTCGTCGATAATTCGCATAGTTTCGATATCGCGACGAGGTGGCGCCGAGGACTCCGCAAAGACCGCAGAAACCTCAAGTTAGCTCACATGCACGCCCATGAAGCACGTAATAAAATGTTACTGCCTATAAAGAACGTATGAACCGGTTCAATGGTCAAAATGGAAACGCCTTACCTTTCGCGCTAAGAGGGCCGTGGGTTTCAAACGAAGAGCTAGCAAGCGCGGAGCCGAACACAGTGAAATCGTATCCAGTGGTCCTTGTGGTATTGTTGGTATTGTACTATGCCATCTGTACATCACATGGCGCTTTGAGTTATAGTGAGTGTTGTTAAAACGAGATGGCGCCACGAGTCCTTCAACGGCGCACGGCATGCGCGCGAGGGCCACGTGGCGCGGGCACGCGAGGAGGTGTTGGCACGCGCCGTTTCTGATAGCATCCTCGATCATCCGCACCGGTGCGCACCGGGGCACTGAGTTTCGCCCCTTCATCTTCGATCAAGTGCACCGGTGCGCACCGGACGTCCTCGATCAACGAAGCGCACCCTCCCGGTGCGGCTTTTCGTTGCCCCAACGCGCACCAAGAAAATCGGCGGTGCGCCGGGGGGGCAGTCCCATCAGGCATTGCGGCCAGGAGCGGGAATCGAGAAGATGGCGGGAGTAGCAGACGCACAGGCTAACGAGATGGCGATCTTGCAAAAACGAACACGCCTCGCAGGTGCACTATTAGATGATTTCCTCGGGTCTTCTGACGGCGAGACGACGAGCTTCTCACCATCGCCGCGATTACTGGCGATTGCTGCGGTGGCAAGGAGCGCCCGAAAAGCACGAACTTCGTGGAAAGCGGCGCGAAGCGTTTCGATGACAGCGAGGTACGGCTATTATCTGGTGTTTCATTTTCTTGAACCAATAATGATGGCCAACATATACATGTGGAATTGTCACCCCGCTTCGTGACCCCATCGACAATCACGTCCACGATGTTTATTTCTGTGGGACCGTCAAATTCGCGAGTAAAAAAATAGAAGACATTGACAGCAGACGGGCACCGTGCGCTGACCTACGCAAGAAAAAACGAACAAAACGCGAAGTGACGCAAGGTGGAGCTCGCCGCGGCAGCCGCGGTCCACCGGCGCGGCGCAGTTTGTCCTCGATGTTGCACCGACATCGCGCTGCACGACAGAGGAGCGCTGTGCACTGTGCTGGTTTCAGGGCGATTCCGGTGCGAGTTGATCGAAGATGCTATGAAAGACGCCCCGTGCCGCTGTAGGGCTCGTGGCGCCATCTCGTTTTAACAAGACACACTATAACTCAGAGCGCCATGTGATGTACAGATGGCATACCACAGCGACCGCTGGATGTGATTTCACTGTAGTCAACTCTACGCTTGCTAGATCTTCGTTTAAAACCCACGGCCGTCTTCGCGCGAAAGGTAAGGCGTTTCCATTTAAACCATTGAACCGGTTTCGTGCGTGTTTTATAGGCATTAATATTTTATTTCGTGCTTCAGGGGCACGCATGTGAGCTAAGTTGAGGCCTTTGCGGTCTTTGCGGCCTTTGCGGGCTCCTCGGCGCGATTTCGAAACAATGCGAATTATCGACGAACCCCTCCCCCCCCCCCCCCCCCCCCCCCCCCCCCCCCTCTTGGTAGATATCGAGCTTTGGGCGCACGCCTTGCTAGCGGATTCCCGACAGACTGGCTTATGAGCCTACACCCAGGATTGCCTCTCCTTTCTTTTCCAAGTACAGTCGGGGACAAAAGTCTCCAGGACACGCGAGCTGCGACTGAAACGCATTGCTCTGCCATCTGCCGGTGGGTCGCCTGGTTTCGAGATCACAGAAAAGCGCATGCGCGTCCTACTGTGCCCACTGTGCCTGCCAACATGTGCGCTTTCCCGCTCTTCTGCGGCGCGGCGCCTAACTCGGAATCGGGCGCGTGGTACCGCCTCGGAGATAGCGCTTACTGACATGGCACATATCAAGCAAGAAGTCACGGCATCTCAACTGAGCGATAAGCTCAACTGGTTATAAAGCAAGGCGCGCCGACACGGCGAAATGCGGCAAAATGCGGCGAAATGCCCCAGGCGGTATCTCGAGTTTCGGAATGTGTAGCAGACGCTCGTCAGCCGCCAGCGCTATCTCCGAGGCGGTACCATGTGCCCGATTCCTAGTTAGGTGCTGTGCCGCAGAAGAGCGGAAAAACAGACATGTTTGCAAGCAGAGTAGGACGCGCATGCGCTTTTGTGTGATCTCGAAACCAGGCCACCCGCCGGCAGATGGCAGAGCGATGCGTTTCAGCCGCAGCTCGCACGTCCTGGAGACTTTTGTCCCCGACTGTACATCGCCTACACACACAGCGTAGCTCTTGGGAAATGCAAGCGATCTCTCCGTGTGCGGCTTGTTGATCTGGCTCCTGAAGCCGGTGGAGCGCTCGGGGCGCGTCTGGGGTGTCCAAACAGGACACTACAAAACGCACGACTCCGACATATCGTGAAAATTGAAGCGGAAGCGTCCGCTTCAATTTTCACGATTTTTCTCGGAGTCGTGCGTTTTGTAGTGTCCTGTTTGGACACCGGATAACTTTTATGCCTGCTCCGGAGAAGTTTGATCCGCAGTCACTCACAAACATCAATTTCAATATTTGCGTTAGCGTTGCTGTCGCAGTCACGGAAACGATTGCGCCAGCAGTACTCGATAAATATGATAGATACGGTAGAAAGTTCCGAGAATATCAGAGGGATGCGATGTTGTGATTATCGGCCGTGTGTGGCCCGATAAGAATGGACGACTTGGGTGTAAGGATAACACAGCCCTGGCTAGGTAAGAGCGGTGGCGTCGCAAGGGTGGGGTGCGGCGGCGGCGGCGGACCGCCTTGGGTGCAGGACTCGGGGGTGTCGCGGCGGGCTACTGCCCCGGGTGCCGCTGACCCTCGTGACGCCACTGGATAAGGGTATTGGAGAAGGGAAAGCAAAGGAAGTTTTTCGCGGTCAGTGGCCTTGTATGGCAACTTTACTGCCTTGGTTTATTTCGCGTTGTTATTTACAGCCGAAGGGGTCAAGACACACTACAGCGCACTATTGCGAACAACTAGTGCGCTGTAGTGTGTGTTAAAATGAGCAACCAACTCGCCCAAGCTGCTACGTTATCAAGCATCTGACTCGTTAAACCCAAGTAAAACGTAGTGCTTGAAAGCACCAATACACAGAAACAATGCAAACGAAGGGAAAAAGAAATCAAAGAACCGTTACAAGAAAAAGGAATACAATCAGCAAGCACAGTACAAAGTAATAACCTAAAAGAAAACGCAATACAAGTATAACTCCAAGAAACACAATACAGGTAATTGCACACTGAGGGAACCTCTGAGGTTTCTGCCACTACAAGTTCAAGAAGGGCATTCCACTCGTGAATGGTCTTTGGAAAAAAAGGAGTGTTTAACCAATTCTGATCTACATTTTATTTCTTTTATTTTAAGCAAAAATTATCTACCCTTGGGGAAATGTAATCGCGACTATGAAGATACTTATCTTTGTTTTTGGGTGTGTTTTTAGGAAAATCTAAAACGTTTTAATCGGAAACATTTTCGTCGTAAAGCCAGGAAGTGCCAACCAAGTTGCTCTTTAAGTTCGATGACGCTTGACCGAAAGGTGTAGTTATTGGTAACAAAGCGCGAAGCTCTAATTTGTACGCGCTCAATTTTTAACGACAGGTTGGTCCCACTCTGAACACGCGTACTCTAAGATAGGCCTGACATTACTGTATAAGAAAGCTTTGATATCCTCAGGAGCCATTCTAAAATTTGTTTTTATAAAGTTCAGAACAGGGTTCGCCTTAAGTGTTACTGTGTCCGCGTGCTTGGCCCAGGAAAGAGTGCTGCTAAAATAGACTCGTAAATGCTTTACCTCCGTAACCTCTCTAAGATCAACGCAGTTTAAATTATATTTTGCCAGGAAAGGGTTGTGTTTTTTGGTAAACCGAATATAATTGCATTTAATAATGTTTAGGTACATTCCCCACCTGTTGCACCACGCCGCCAGTGTTGCAAGGTCAGTCTGGAGTAAGGAGGAATGATCATCGTTGTAAACTCAATTGCCGATAAAACGTTGAAGAACATACGTTCTAATGAATAACCCTAGATCGATCTTTGTCGTGGTCCCCACACATCAGGCGCGTAAAGCAAAAGCTGGGGTCCTTCGTACAAATTATTAAAACGATAAGTAGAACAAGATGGGGATGTTCAGTAAGACGACTTTTGACCCTTTAGAACGCTATTTTTGTCGTACTATAACTCTACGGTATTTCAGTAAATCATAGAAGCCTCAAGTCATCAACAAAAGACCTCGAAAGTGTTCAAACACAGGCTCCAAACGTTTGCCTTGGACTATCGAAATGCACATCAAACATTGGAACTCTTGTTGAGGCTAGAGCGATTTCGATCGGTATCCTCAGAACCTAAGAATCTGTTCGAGTTCACTTAAGACACCAAGCTCGCAGCCAAGCACATCATCTGGCGAATATTACGGAGGTTAAACCCCCTGCTCGCTTTCTGGAGGTCATGTCGCAACTGGATGGGTATATAACAAAGAACGATGAATTAGCTAAAACTCCGCCGCAAGCATGATGGACGTGCAGATCTATAGATAGATACTGAATTGGCCATCCTCGGTGTTACGCAAAAAGCAGCAACTCCAACACCTGTCATGATGCAACTAACACTTGAGTAAATACATCATGCTATATGTCTCTCATAGCGACACATATACACGGATGGGTCAACTAACTTTATATCATCATCTTTTGGAGCCTGTATGCCGTGAACTAGCACGACAGTCAAAACCAATCTGAGCCATATTACATCATCGACAGCAGCTGAACGTGAGGCTATCCAGGAAGCTGCTGCCTACATCAGCACCCAAAACCCTTAAAACTGGACAATATTCGTAGACTCTAAGCCCGCTCTCAGTCCACTTATGCATGAAAGAAAGAATATTGTGAATAATCAACTGACTTATGGCATCTTACAGAAATTCCATGCTGTGAAGTGTCAGGGACATGAATTTGTCTTACAGTGGGTACCGGGTCATAGTGGCACACCCGGCAACATCTGTACCGACAAAGCTGGTTGGGACGCCCACGAAGCCGACGATACCTGTGCAATTCCTCTGTCAAGGACAGATGCAAATGATATGGTCAAAACAATTGGGCGAGAGATGTCCAGGTTATGGACAGATCCATGCTACTATATTATGCGTACTTAAAAAATATTGACGCGTAGTAAAAGTTCCGAATGCCGAGAAATATAAAACGACGAACAGGAACTGTGCTGCGTCGGTTACGCCTGAATGTGGCATTTATTAGAAACAATCTTCATATGATCAGTCAAGTAAATTCACCGCGTTGTACAGCATGCTCAACAACACACGACATTAAACATGTACTCTGCCACTGTTCATTATATATTTCCCGAAGAAAAACACTAAAACAATCCTTGAACATACATGGTCAGGACATTGAGCTCAGCGATATATTAGGTCCCTGGACTTCAGTAGCAAAAGAATCCAGAGCAACCAACGCTTTACTCCGGTTCTTAAAGAGCACCCGCCTGGACCAAAAGCTGTGAACTGACATCACTTTTTTTTTTTTTAAATTTACGAGCGGCTATTTATTTTTTGCCATTCTTTGAGTGCGTATTTATGTGTTTGTGTATCTGTGTGTGATGTGTGTGGGGGAGGGGGATATGCGTGTGTATGTGATTTGACTCTTTCTTTACTTCTCTATTCTGTCTGCTGTTTCTCTACTTTCTTCATTTTCACGGAAAGTAGCAAACCAGCCTTCACAAACAGGTTGACCTCTTTGCTTTCCGGTAAATAAACATACCTACCTAACAATATCTAAAGATATGTCCTTTGTGTATTCTTTGAGTGTAACAGAATTGAGGAGTTGATGCTTATCTTGGGATGGGCGGATGCTCGGTATTTTACGGTAGAACACGACAATCAACTTTTGGACACTAAACAGACTACTACTTTTAGAGAGGAAGCTACAGTGAGACCCGTTTAGAACGAAGCCACGTACAGCGAATTATTGTCGATATTGAACTCACGGAAAATTTAAATAAAAATGCATGTAAAAAGTAATTTTTTATAACGAACAACATATTGGCTCCCCCGGGAAAGCTTCCAAAAATGCTCAAGCAATCGCCTTTTAGCCTGTCCCTCCCCCCCCCCCCCCCCAGCACACACACACACACCAAAAAAAGTAGGAAAGAAAGAAAATCCAAAAAGCTCAAGCTGCAAGCGAAATTGAGCGAAGAGAAGCAATTCAGAAGGGTTAAAAAATAGTCTGCACGCACGCACAGAAAAACAAACTTTTCATCCTAAAACGGTTGCGCACGAAGAGAAGGAGTTCAGAAGGGGAGATAAGCTAAAAGAACAAACTCTGCTTACAACGAACGCATTGTTGAACTTCGTTGTAGATGGATTTTGCTATATCGAATTACTTGCTATATCGAACTGATCGTAGCGTTTCCTGCTGTTCGTTATAAACGGGTTTGACTCTATACCTTCCCTTTCTAATTCCGACTATTTGCGATGGTGAGTTGTCATGTTTGCAACATATGTTTCAGGTGTTACTGGCATTCGACTGAACTTCTGTTTTACAATGCAATAGCACCTCCTTCGACGCCCCCCCCCCCCCCCTCTCACCTGAGCAGATTGGTTTCAAATATTTTGCTTCGCTAGCTCAGTGCAGAGGGGGTTTAAGAGGCACAAAATAAAATATGGGAAGGAAGAATGCAAGAAAAAAGTAGCAAATCAGGTTTAGCAATTAGGGCCGTGCAACGACATTGGGTAGGAATATATCTCACTTTACACAGGCTTGCTGGCACTAGTTTGACCCCTTATATGCCTCGAACGCAAAGCCACTGACTAAGAAGCTTCGTCTTCGCGGTGGAAATGAAAAGATAAAAGAGAAAGTTCTTGTTTTCCAGTCTCTCTCTTGCCAAATTTTATGACAAAGTTGCGGAGACAACGCGAACAACGCGATCCCTGGATTTGCGATCCCTGCTGTGACGATATGTGAATGCGGCTCGTACGGTCGACAGGAGTACTGCGTGATATTCCGATCTGGGCTCGCGACACTCAATTCCTCGACATGCATTCGGGTAGTGGCTCGAGCCCAATCACTGCGACCACAATGCGTCGAACTCAGCACGAGCCATGTGCTTTGCCAGCCTCAGTGCGTGGCTAGCTTATGTGGCCACCATAGCCACGTTAAACATTGGCAGAATTTAATCGGCTCTAGATCACGTGGCCGCTGGTGGCTGCGAGTTGAGAGGGTGAACGCTGTTCGTATTACAGCGATAGCGGTTATGGGCCCTTTGCCTCTTGAAATGACGTCCTTTGTTGTTGCAGCTGTTGATGTTGTAGGGCGGCCGTCGTCGACGTTGCCAAATCATTGAAAAAGAGCGCCTGCTGCCCGCATGAATCAAACTGGGGTCTGCTGCGTGCGAAACGCAGGCGCTTCTGACCTACACCACACAGTTAACTTCCGTCTCGTATATAGGTGTTTTGTAGTACGCGATGACCTTTGCACGCTGTGCGTGGAAAAATAAATTGCTTCTAATCAAATACTGCTGAAGCACTGTCAATGCGAAGAGACTTCGTGCCGGAGACGTGCTTTCACGCGCTCTGGAGCAAAAAAAGGAAGAAAAGCGTTCGAAACAAAATCGTGAGATGTCTATTTTGTTCGGAAAGCTTTTGTTCACGCACCCAGTGTGCGTGATCGCGATGCCGATGACCAACGACTTCGCCGTGACATCGAAGCTGTCGGTTTGACCGTACACTGTATAGTAGCGCATGAGTGCTAAATCTGTTTTTGTCGTAATTTTTCTGGGACAGTTTTTGTGTCGAGACAAAATTACTACGAGTGTTTTATAGGTCGTGAATGTCCAGGAATAATTCTAAGCGGTACTTACTAAAGTACAAAAATTGTTGCATCTCCCCTTTAAACTGCAGCTACTACTAAATGCTCTCGCATTTTATGGCAGCTCTGGTTTCATAGCTTTTCTAGTGAATCTCGGAGCGTTCTCTTTACAGGACGCATATCCCGGTGTGACCAGTAGATCACGTGGGACTCGGAGCGCGCATCCGGAGAAATCTGGATTACGGCACTGCAATGGCGTCCTCTGCGTCCACTTCGACGGCGTCCATCGAGCCTGCTGCAGACACCAACTCGACTGGCAGCAACGAGGCTAAGTCTTGTGCGGACGCTTCGCAGGATCCAACCACTATAATGGTGCTCACCTTGAACACGGAAAATGGCCTCAAGGCGACGCACGGTGGATATGGGTTCACGTATTCCTCGCGGGATGGCCCAGTATTCCGATGGCGATGCGTGCTTCGCCAGTGTGGTGTAATCTTGAAAACCTATCGTCTCGAAGGCCAACACTACTTGCTCCATGCCGAGCCGCACAACGAAGAGGTGCACAACTGCGAGTCTTCTCGTCCTTCTGGAGGCGGTGTTCGAACCCCGTGCACTCCGCACGATGGTCCAAAAACGAAGGCGGAATCCTGCGCGGACAAGGTAAAAAGATGGCGCCTTTCCTGAATGATTCATGCAATGTAGGCCCTTTTCAAAAGTCCACGAGAGAGCATTGGTGTTCGCCATTGCTTAGACAAGAAGCGCGTGATTGGATCAGAGTTCACGCCGAACCCTGACGTCACACTCGTGTCCAATCTATGCTCGTGGTATGTGAGCAAGCAATGGCAGACAGGCGTTGGCGCCGAGTTTTGAAAAGGGTCTATGGCGGAACAGAATACATCGCAAGACGGGCATTTCTGTTTCCAGCTACATATGACTGGAAATTAATATTTTACGTAATATATAATTTTGCATACGCATCTGCGCAATACTCTTAGATCTACCAGAAGAGGGTCTGCGAGCGGAATCGCAAAACGGTTTTTTTCCCTTTGGTTGTTTGGTCAAAAGGAACCCCCGTCGAAGTTCGTGGTAGTCGCGGATTTTTCTAAAAATTGGTTCACCGTATTAAAGGGGTATGGAAACGAAATGATGTGGCCGCGAGATTTCTACCTCTCACTTCAAAATCAGCCAGCGGGAAGCGCCATGCATATCGCACTCGTGAGGTCGAGTGCCTCTGAACGGTCAGGGGCACTGTAGTGGCGAGCACTGCCGTTTTGTGGCGGGAGCGCGTGACAATCTCGCCTTGTACTAATATTCAAGAATTGTACTTCCCGTAACGTCATTCGCGGCCATGACTGTATTTTATTTGCCGTGAGCGTTCGGTTCACTGTGTTAGTTTCACACCGCACAAGTAGACTCGAGAGAACCAGCAACTACACTCTAAAAAAAAAAAAAAAAAAGGAGTAGTACTTCTTCCCTTAAAGGAGGAACTCGCGTGCATCATATATTGCTCTACAAAGGGAGGAAATTTCCTCCTACAAAACGGGAGAAAATTTCCTCCCCTAGGAAGGGAGGAAAGTTGCCACCTATTTTTGCTCGTGGAGAAAACATTCCTCCCCTAAGAAGGGACGAAAATCGCCACCTTTTTTTGCCCGATGGAGGAAACTTCCACCCCTCGTGTAATTCATATAGCTTCCTCCAGATGGCGCTCAAAGCATAAAAACAAAATGTTGGTGAAGTGCCAATTTGTTTTCCAATGTCCCCCACTCTTGAACGCTACATGGCGAATGCACGTACAACACTGAACACACAGAATACACGAAACACAAGCAGAACACTCCACAACAGCAACAACGCAGCGACACCGGACCCCCACCCCTCTACACGTACGCTAAGTTCGCACTCTCTCTATAGACCGTTTCATTAGGGTCATAGCAGAGAGGGTAATAGAGACAAAAAATGCCATCTCCCTCTCACCCCGCATGTCGTCTGCTCCGCCGAGTGGGCATCCGGCTGGCGTGCACTCTGTTTAAAATCGCGTCATTTTGGAAATTTCAAGCGCAGATGCGCAGATTTTGTTATGCCATTTGTCGTGTAATACTAAGCTAGATAAAAAAGACTAAGGGGTCCAATTGCGCTGTTACCAGCTTGCAAATAATAATAATAATAAAAAAACAAGATAGGGAAAACTGTGTCAGATTGGCCGGTCTCTCGGGCTAAAAGTAAATCCGGTTGCTGTAGCTTTTTTTACTATACAAAGTTCGTACTGGTGTAGGCCTTTTGCGACCATGAGTGGAAGTCTGAAATAATAAATAAAAACGTGTTCTCCTGCCGCAATACACGCAGTAGTTGAGGGTAGTACTGCCAGCTGACTCAGCTGCTATTTAAGTAACGGAAAAAAGATTAGCTAGTTGATCATTTACCGAAGTAGAACAACACAGAGCTATAGACTGATTTTGGAGTAGCCATAACTATTTTAAAAACGCGAACCACTTCACAACGGCAGCCACGAGCTAGAGTTCGATGTTCCGTACAGCCCGCCGGTACAGCTCAAAGATGGAGAATGGCAACCTCCCGGTTTGTCGTCTGCTAGCGGAGTCGGGCGCGTGCCCTCTCTCTCGTTTTTACCCCGCCGATCCCTCTGAATTTCCCGGATGTATGGAGAGGGCGCGGCTGTCGAACAAAATGGTGCCGCCCAGAGAGCGCTAAATGGAATTGAATCCGACTGGTCGGTGAGTGCCATCATTTGTCGCATAAATACGCAGAGACGGAGCAAATATTTTTCGTACTTTATACATTATTTCAATTGTCTCTTGGAATAGCCTCGATCTCTTAATTCAACAGCCTGATCAAATCAAGTGTAGATCATTAGGCCAATTAACTAAAATTTAATGATTATCCTTTTTTAATAAGTTCGAAGAATCATGTTGGCAATGCAGTGTTGAAATGAAGTACACTGGTGCCGAAATTTGCCACCAAGCTATTGCTTGATGTTCCATTGTGATCTATTTTAAGTTTTGGCGGGGGAATAATTAATTTTAATTGTTGCACAAGTATTTCAATGAATTTTTCAAACAAAAAATATTACTGGTTTTAACAAGACTCGTTGCAAAAGCAGAAGACTTACCTTGGGTCATGCTTTGTCACCCGTATTAGAGAAATTTAATATTGTTTTAAATTTCTAACTTGGAGCATTTTTCCTATAAAAAGTAAGTGCCGGGAGCGATTAGAACCCACGGATCATGACTTTGGTATCAAAGCAGACAACTAAAATGAAACTGTCTTTGGTGTTATAATGCAACCGCTTGAAAACATATCGTTGCCCAAGTCAGAAAGTTAAACAGCCCGTGTTGAAAGTTTTAGTAGATCGTTGAGTCACTTCCGCAACTCTATAAGCAATCCGTTATGGGTATGGCCTCCGCTATATATACCTTAGCGGGGCCGCGTTTTCATGTTTTAGAGAACGTTTGCAACCCGTTGCAGAATATAGCGTTACGAGAGTTAACGCAATGCAACTATTTCCGACACTAAAGGTAAAATAAATGTTTGTACAACAATTGTAATCTTCTATTCATGTCGCTATCTAAATAGAACATTAATTTATTATCGAGTAAGCTTATGTTCATCCTTGCTTCTTTTAAAATTACGTCCAATACATTTGCGACGAGTAGACTTGAGATCCACGTTGTTGACGCCGGGTCGGCTTGGTCGTGTACTACAGCCGGCCCGCGCTCGTTCCGCGACACGAGTGTCCGCGCCAATTCCAGGGCGCCGCCATGTTTATCTACGCTCGCGCCATCACGCGGAGAGAACTGGCAGGCAGGAGGGGGGGGGGGGGGGGGGCTGCGTTGGCGGCGTTGCTTTGAGGAGCTGGATGCGGTAGGCTGTCCGAATGCACCGGCACATAGTGAACGATGTCTTCACCAGAAGCCTCCGCGACCCGTTCTTCAACAGATAAAATGTCGTGAACATTCGAGAACCCATCTCGATCAAGAAAACAAGAGAAAACCTTTCTTGTCTTAAATGTTCTCGGTGTTTGCTGACCCTTGACATCCGCGTTTCAGTCCGGGTTCATTGCGTAGTAAATATTTCGCTATCGCTTTCTTGTAGCTTTCAAATGCTTGATTGTTGGCTTCTTGTATACGACATTACATTCGTGGCACGTTTGAGACCGATTTTCGCGATCTGCTTGCCTTTCTGCGGCTCTACCGAGCCGAAATAAGTGGGAGGCGTTCACTTGATCGAACGCCGTTTTAGCGAATGAAAACGAGACCACGACGTTTCATCGAATGACTAGCGAATGGGTCTAGTTACATAGACAGCTCGGTTTAGCTTTCTTTTGTAATGCGGCGCCTTGTCTGCCACTGCGAAGCGGCGTAAACGAGGGCTCCGAGTATGTTAGCACGCGTCCCCCCCCCCCCAACACACACACACACACACACAAACACACACTGCGAGCGTCTGGGTTCGAAACTATTAATTGCCAGTTTTAAAGGATGGTACTTACTTGAAGTGGGAGCTGGAATTCTACGAGGTACCAGGAGACACTCACTATCGGGCAACGAAGCACGGTGCCTGTGGGGGCGGAGTCTAGGAACGCTACTGATTAATATTGTGACAGGCGATCAGTTATGATAGCAGACGAAACTTCGACTCGTTTGTTCAGAAGTTCGCGGTGATATTTTATTAGCCCTCGTTAGAGCACACCAAGGATCTTAGGCAGTGAAATTCACATCACGCAGGCTCGTCCGTCGTAGTCAAATGAGCGCAGTCGACGATGAGGTGTAATGAGCTACAAAGCTTCACAAGGCAAATGCGCGTGAGAAAGAGTTTTGAGGAAGTCCAAAACACCGATCCAGCAGACGCACGTACGTACGTTTACTCCGGACTTCATGAACCCGACGGCGCAAGATCAAAGAGCACCGCCGCCATCGCCACCCGGTTTTCTCTGCACTTTGCGCGACGACGGCACTGCAACGGAGGGCACTCGCCTCGGCGTTAACAATCCGCGAAATAGATTAATTTCCCACTCTTGAAGCCATTCCAAATGATAAATGAAAATACCTTGGCGTTGTTGAACATCTGACGACACAACCACCACAACTGTGCCGCTGGCTGCGTGAGCCTGACACAACTGTGCCGAGCGCCTGCTCGGCACCGTTGTTGCTCGTGAAGGCCTGCTTATTTGTAGTTGAGACGATGATTCCACATCTTTCGTGGTGCTTGCAATAACTTCGAAGGGCAGGGGAACCTTCTCACGAGGACGTTGAAGACACTCATCACCGGAGCCACCAAAGCAATCGCACAAACCGTCGCCATGTTTGCTTCTTCTTCGTCACTCGCGGCGCGGTCAACTCGTCGCGAGATCTTTTCTGGCTCGGCTAGATGGAAACCAACAGCGGCAAAGTGGCCTATGGACACACGGCTCTCACATTACGGGCACTATACTCACATACCGCGGTAAACAGGACCGATGCCGGCGAAACGGCAGTCGGCACACCAGCGAAGAAGCCCTTAGCGGGAAGCGGCGGCGCAGGCCGACGCAGCCCCCCCCCCTCCCCGCGAGTGTCTGGGTTCGAGATTATTGTTCGCTTTTGCTCCTTGCGGTCGAGGCTAAAAAGAGCACTTCCGGAGAAAGTGCGACGCGACCGGCGACGCGACCG